CAGCACCTGTGGCTCTGTAGGTAGGGCGCCAGCCCCATATACCAAGGATGGCGGGTTCAAACCCAGCCCTGGCCAAACTGCAACAAAAAACTGCTGGGCGTTGTAGCGGGTGCCTGTGGTCCCAGCTACTCAGTAGGCGCCTGTGGTCCCTGAGGCAGGAGAATCGCCTAAGCCCAAGAGCTGGAAGTTGCTGTGAGCTGTGTGACAACACGGCACTCTACTGAGGGTAATAAAGTGAGACACTGTCTCTAAAAAAAAAAAAAAAATATATATATATATATATATAGAGAGAGAGAGAGAGAGAGAGAGCAGACAAAAAAACTAAATATTTTAATTCAAAAGCACAGATTGCTATATACGTGAACTTTTGTATGGTTTACAGTCATGAGTAAGTTGAATAAGGCACTGATGCTAATACAGTGATGCTAATACACTGACGTTACTATGAAAACATTAGTAAAGCCTTACAGAAAACACACTTAACTCAATGTAGGAGGCTAGGGAAAAGTTCTCAACGAAATGACCTCAAAGTCAATTCTTAAAGGATAAAGAACAGTTAGCTTAGGTATATACCCAAAAAAGTGAAAACATGTCCATATAAAAACTTGCATACAATTGTTCATAGAAGCATTATTCGTAACAGCCAAGAAGTAGAAACAACCCAAATGTCCATTAAGTGATGAATGGATACATAAAATGTGGTATGTCCATACACTGAATATTAATCAGCAATAAAAAAGTGATATACTGGCACATGTTACAACATACATAAACCCTAAGTGAAAGAAGCCATTCATGGGGCCAGGCACAGTGGCTCACGCCTGTAATCCCAGCACTCTGGGAGGCCAAGGCAGGTGGCCTGCCTGAGCTCACAGGTTCGAGACAAGCGTGAGCCAGAGCGAGACCCCCATCTCTAAAAATAGCTGGGCCAAGATGGGCAAATCTATGGAAACTGAAATAAATTTAGTCATTGTCTATAGCTGAGAGGAGGTTGGGGGAATGGGGAGTGACAGCTAATGGGCATGGGGTTTTCCAGGAGGGCAATAAAAATGTTCTAAAATGGATTTGCCACAGTTTGCTAAAACAAAAGGGTAGAAGGCAGCAAGAGTGGAAGACAAGGTTGGAAAATCTGAATCACAAAGGCCTTTTCTGGAGGCAATAAGTAACATCTGTATTGCAGGTAGAGTGTCCTCGCTGCAACAGAAGGGACAAATCTGAAAGAAGCAGAATTGGAGACAAGTAAGTGACTATTCCCTCTCTTTCTTCTCAAGAAGATATGAGAGCCTAAAGCAGAGCAGTGAGGGGAATAAGCCTAGAAAACATGAGAGGTGAGAGAAACATTTACAGGGTAAACACTGAGGAAAGGAGAAAGAAGAGACGTCAAAAGGCTTCTCAGGTTCTGTCTCAACTGACTCGATGCAGAGTCCTATCAATAAGACCAGAAATAAAGAAAGCAAAACAGGTTTCTGGTGAGGGAGGCAGTCACAGAGACACATTCAGTTTGGGGTGTACAGAGTTTGCATGTAGAGCAGATTGTGTCACTGGTCTCAATTCTTCACCCCTTCTCCATTCAGCCCCTCTGCTAACTGACTGCAGTTCCTCCCAGTAAAGGGGGAGAGTATGTTTCCCAGACCCTTGATTGGGCTGGGCCAAGTGACTAGTCCTGGCTGACTGAATAAATCAGAAGTGAGGGTTTCCCTATTCCAAGCATAAGGATTTCCATCTGTTTCCACTTTCATGTTTGTATTCCTGCCATTTTCATTAGAGGAACACGCCTAGGCCAGCCCAAAGGTAGGAGGATAAGAGAAAAGCAGAACAAAGCCCCACGAAGCCCCAGGCTGCATGAGATAATTCTCAGCTAAACTCACCAAATCTCCTAAGTCCAGCCAGGGTCCCCAGAGACACCCATCTGAACCCAGCCTACGTAGCTGAGCCACAGCTGTGCAGGTCGTGGTAAGTAACTGTGAGTAGTTTGTTACAGCAAAAGCTAACAAGGTGCTTACGAAATATCTAAGAAAAGACATTCAACGGGTAATTGCAGGTGACAGTTTAAAGCTAAGGAAAAAAAGACAGAAATACAGGTAATGTAATTTTCTCAGCATTAATTCGAATCATATCTGTAGGCTTTAAATCACAAAACTTTTAAATTAGCAAAATATTAACAGTATTTTGGAAAGATATTTGAGTTCTGAGGTAGAGAGATGGCCCCCAAAGAAGTATCTTAATCCCCAGAACCTATGAATATATTATCTTCCATGGCAAAAGGACACGGATGTGATTAAGGTTAAAGACCTCAAAATAGAGAGATTAACCCTAGATTATCTACGTGGGACCAATCTAATCACATAAATCCTTAAAACTGAGAGCCATGCCCCTTTCTCAGCTGCATCAGAGACGGAGAAATCACGCTGGAGAAACGAGAGCACCGCTGCTGCTCTGCAGGGGGAGGAAGGCGGCCAAGCTCAGCACACAGGAGCCCCCGAAGCTGAGCAAGGCAAGGAGACTTATCCCCTCCATCCTCCAGAAAAGAACTGCCAACACCTCAAGTTTAGCCCAGGGAAACCAATGCCAGACTTCTGACCTACAGAACTGTGAAATAAAAAATTTGTGTTGTTTAAGCTTCAAAGTTTATGGTAATTTGTTGTGGCAGCAACAAAAAATAAATACAGGGTCCTAAAAAATTTATGTGAAAGAAATGGATGACACTAGAACAAATTTCTTTAAAAAGACCTCAAAAACCAATCCAATGTGTAATTCCATTCTCACTTTTAGCACTTAATAAATCCTTATTACCACCACTAATAATAGTATCCTCCCAGCTAACGAGCAATTCCACAAACAGCAGACAATGATAACGTTAATTTTTAGCGGGGTGCAGGTGTCCTTCTGGATGGCTGACAAGTTTAAGCCATTGCCCAAGTGGATGGATTCAATACATAGCAATAGCTGCCTTGGAAGGACTCTACAAATACCGAAACCTTCCAAACTGGAGAAACCACATTTTTACCTTATATTTAGTAAAGAAGCAGAGAAGCCAGGAGAAGGAAGAGCCTGGAGAGCCGGTCTTGGGAATAAACTCTCCTACTTAAAATAAACATGTCCTAGCTATAGACTCCCAATGTTACATAAATGCAGATTTCACTCCTAAGTTTTCAATCACAATTGAATCTGTACATTGATTTTGCAATTAATATAAAATTCTCAGAGGCTGAAATACAATGTTTTACAATTAATAGAAAAACCCAATAAAAGTCCGATACATAAAAAGGCTGAGTTGGGTATATAGCAATTTATTTATATTTTGAAACTTGTTTCACACAATATTTGAAGTGTTTCAGTGAAAATACTTGTAAAAACAAAAAAAAAGTATAACATCCTTATAACATAGATCAAGAAGAACTCTCAGGAAAATGCATTATGTGGAGGAAAAAACACTGCAACTGAACAAACTTCAATAATAATCAAACTGACCTGCAGCCTTTTTTCTATGGCCCTCCACAAAAACATCTATCTTTATTCACAAGAATCACACTCAGAAGAACTTTGCTGTCCACATAATTATCTCAAGCTCTATCAGGTGAGCTTAAATACTGTGATTCTCAGAGAATAAAATAAATCACACTAGGAAGATTTGGGAGACATTGGAGGAAAAACACCTGGCAGTCTGAATCAAAAAGAACAGAATTCAGCTGCAGTTCCCTGGGTAACTAAACCTCCCAGATTAAATACGTAATGAGAGACTGTACTCAAGTAATAACTTTCTCCCTGTCTCATCTGTCCCCTAACTCCAAAAATATGAAAGAAAAAATAATTCCACAGTCATACCCAGTAAAACAAGATTAAAAAAATCGGTCCTATAATAAAGCTCACTTAAAGACCTCTGAAAATCTGTGACCCCTCAAGAGACCAATCCAAGTCCTTCTAAGGCTGAAGAATTCTTTACATTGAACAATCTGGCGGCTGTAAATCATACAACCTCTGTCAAACTCAATGCAATGGAACTACAGAGAAAATGCCTCAGGGATATATTAATGGCAGGGAAATGTCGGGAATCCTTCTCAGTGTAATCAAATGAATGAATTCACCAACATCTCTGATGCTGGGTTATTCATTACCTTTTAAATTAAATGCACAAGTTCTGCTTCCACATAAAATGTAAATGTAAATGCTGGAAAGACCATTAACAATGAGAAAGAGCTGGATAAGATCAGAGCTTTTCTTGAACACAGCCAAGTATCCTGAAATTCATAGAGTCAGTCCCCTACCCCAGGCCCCAGCAGAGCCTCCCTGTGTTAGAACAGGAGAGAAAGGCAAACAACGGACAATCAGCTGAAAGTTAGGATCCTGGGACACCCAGGCACACCAGGAGGTCACACACAATTCACTCCCTCTCCCTGCACCTCCCACCAGGGAAGACTAGAGCAGGACAGGAGACTAAAAAGCTTCCCCAGAGAGCACTGGATGGAGGAAAAGACATGGGTAAACACCCATTGTGTCTAGTGGAAAAAAAGAAGAAAATATCCCCACAAAGATTCCTACCCCTGGGAGCTGGGCAAGAAACAGTTCTGAGCTCGGTATCCTATACCAATCCAGCTAGGGAAGGGCCAGGACACTTCCCCACAACACCTGCAACAGAAACACAGTACCATGGGGAAAAGGAAAGAGACAGCAATGTGGAGAAAACTTGTCCCCAGGGTCCAGTCACTCTGAGGCTACTTAAGACTACGGCCGGATGGAGACAAGAGAGCCCCCCCACCCCCAGGCTGGCAGGCACTGACAAGCAACAGCAGCCCCCGCTAGGAGAGGGGTGCCAGTATGGAGAGTGACCCCGTCTGCTGCAGCTGCACAGGCAGCAGGGACACAGATAAACACCCCCCAGCAACCCAGCCCCCACCCTGAGTACAAGGTAACTGCAAAGAAATCTGAAGCTGGTGGTAACCATGGCAATGACAAAACCAAAACCCAGCTCAACCCCTGACTAGACTGACTCAGCGCTGTGACGGATGAATAGGCCAGCCCAGTCAGTTCCCACCACTCCACACAGGATGTCCAACGTTCAAAAAAAAATTCTGGGATACACAAAGAAGAAAAAAGGGGAAAAAAGAACACTGTCAAAAGAAAAGCAAAATCAGACTAACGAGGGTCTGCTACTGGCTTGACACCCCAGGAGGGGAGATCCACTGTGACCAAGAGAAGAGGAGCCGCACACGCCCCCTGCCCTCCCTCAGATCCTGATTTTTTAAAAAAACAGCCATGAAGAAAACTGTTTTAGTATTTATAGTTAGTACATTAAAAAACAGACTAAAAAATCCCACTGTACATCAGAAAATAAATGTACAACTAAAGTTATAAAACAAGGTCATCAAGCTACTAAAAAACTTACTATCAGAACTGAAAAAAAATTGTCTGCTTATAAATGTTCATAATTTTTTAAAAGTATACACATTTCTTTCTTTCTTTCTTTCTTTTTGAGACAGAGTCTCACTTTGTTGACCCTGGTAGAATGCTATAGTATCATAGCTCACAGCAACCTCAAACTCTTGGGCTCAAGCAATTCTCTTGCCTCAGACTCCCAAGTCGCTGGAACTACAGGTGCCTGCCACAATGCCCGGCTATATTTTTGTTGTAGTTGCCATTACTGTTTAGCAGGCCCGGGCCAGGTTTCAACCCGCCAGCCCTGGTATATGTGGCCAGCGCCCTACCCATTGAGCTACAGGCACCAAGCTGAGTATGCACGTTTCTTGTACTATGCTTTTTAAGTTGGCAAGAAGTACTTTTAAAAAGTAGACTATTCTACTTTTAGAGTAGAATCGGGGGAAGATATAAAATAAAAAGATTTCTAGAGAATAAATGAAAACATTTAAAGATAAAATATTCTCAAAATAATACCCTTAATACTTTCACTAAGCAGAAAGAAAACGATAAACAGCCCAACAGAAAAACAGGCAAAGATGCAAATTAGAAATACAAATTAGAAGAAAAGACTGATGATATCTAGGGCTGGCAGCAATGTGCGAAACCGGGCACTCTTCAGTCACCATTGGGTGGGAATACGAACTGGTACAAAGCAGTATTCCTCCAACTTCTCCACCACAAAAAAGATTGCAGGCATTTTTACCATCAAAGGTAGCTTCCTTCCTTGTTACATTTCTGCCACAGCCCTACTTATCCTATATTCAAGCCACGTCAGGCTGCATTTATATCCATACCACGTGCCTTCATTCCCATGAGCCACTGAAACACCTCATCCAATTCCCCTGCAAAATTCTATCTTCCAAGACCCTGCTCAAACCCTTCTTGCCCTACTCTTCTGGGTAGACTTAATGAAACTTTCATCTGTCATCCCACAGCGCTTGATCCATTCCTCTAATGTAACAGTTGAAACAACAGAGTGAAGTTCTACCATAGATGTGTGCTAATTTATAACAAAGAGCTCCTACTCACCAAGAACAAAACACAGAAATAGGACATAAGCATAAAAGTCACTGTAAAAACAAATGGCTCTTAAACATATGAAGACATATACAACCTTAATAATAAAATATAAATTAAAACCATAATGACACCATCTGTTGAACTGGCAAAGATCAAAAAATTTGACGATACTATATATGAGGAAAATCATCTAATAACGCTTGCTGGTAAGAATATAAGTTAGCAAGGTACCTACGAAGGCAATTTGGCATTATCTACCAAAATTATAAATGCACACATCTTTTGACCTAACAATTCTATTTGCTGGAGTTTATACAACAAATACATTCATCATATTTGACAAGACCTATGTGCATGACTATTCACTGGAGGATCATTTGTAATAGCAAAGGACTAAAAAGATGAATGTGCATCAATAAGGAATGGCTCCATAAATTATGGTACATTCACACAATGAAATACATTTAGAATCACTAGATAGTACCAGAGGAAACAATTTCCAAGATATATTGTTAATATAAAAGCAGTCGTACAGGTAATTCTATAACACTTTTTCTATAAAAGTACCTAAGAGGAAAACATATAATTTAAAAAGCAAAAAGAACCACATAAATACACACACTCAAACACATAACAGTACACCTTAATTAAAATTCATTAACTGTTCATTGGGTTCTGTCCTCAAAAGGTAGTGACAGAACACTAGAAAAAGCTTAGGTTCTGGAACTAAACTCCTTGGATTCAAATCCAAGCTCCAACACTTACTTGCTCTTTGACTTTGGGCTTAGCATCGTAATTTTCCTTTCTATAAAATGAACATAACAACAATAGCTTCCTAGTAAGTTTGCTATGGAGATTAAGTCAGTTACTGAATATTAGTGTTCAATAAATCATAAGTAGTATTATAACATCTTATTTTTCCTTTAAGACTATAAGGTCAAAGTACCAGAAATTACTTTTATCCCTATGAGTCTTTATGCAACTTTGCTTTTTTTTTTTTGGCCAGGGCTGGGTTATGAACCTGCCACCTCCAGTATATGGGGCTGGCGCCCCACCCTTTTGAGCCACAGGTGCCGCCCGCAACTTTGCTCTTTAAACACATTTTTAAGTGACATCAAATAAAATAATAACTTAAAAAAAACTTACTTTGTAGCAGTAGCAAAATGTCTGTTGGGCCCCAGAATGTTTACAGAACAAGGATAAAGAGATGTCTGACAAACCATCTTGGAAAAACAATGCCTTTGATGATGTATCAAAACTTGAAAGGAAAAAAATATAAAATATTAATATTAATTCTTATAGTCATAATATTTTACATTCTAAATATCAGTTTTTTCAAAACAAAAGCATTCACTATTTTGATTCTTAACTATTCCTTAAAAAATGTAATAATGGGCGGGGCATAGTGGCTCATGTCTGTAATCCCAGCACTCTAAGAAGCAGAGGAGGAAGTATTCCTTGAGCTCAGGAGCTGAAGGTTGCAGTGAGCTATGATTTGCCCACGCACTCCAGTCTGGGTGATGGGGAGAGAACCCATCTCTTTAAAAAAAGCCACGCACCTAACAACTCCATTTCATCTCTAATCTTCCAAACTGAAGTACGAGATAATCACCAAAACGGAATTCTGTCAACACACAGGAGTGACAAATGAGAGAGTAAAGGAGAACTACTTATCCCTAGGAATTCTCTGGAGGCAGAAAAGCCACAGGGGGATAAAAGAACTAGGAAGAAAAAGGTGAAGTAAAAGGTCCAGTTCCTGTCCTCCAGAATCTCAAATTTAGTGGGCTTTGCTGGTACACAACAGACTAGGAGAAGGTTGTGTACACATTTTTAAAGAACAGAACTACCTACCTTGAAAAGCCACACAGGGTAAAGGAAGGAACCAGCAATCATCCATTCACAACCTGGCAAACACTTCCAAACAATACTAATTATACTAAATAAGAATAACCCAACAACCTTAGAGGACCCTAAAATAATTCTCTTGGTGAAACAAACAAAAATCTCTTGAACACACCAATTGCAACCTGCTATTAAAAAATCAACCACTAACGTTTAGAATCCACAGTCAAGGCAACCAGAAATTAAAATCCTCAACAGAAATCTATCATACTGCTACAGCCTAAAAGAAACCAAACTACAAAAATACCACTATTTAAGTACTGCTAGACCATAATATCTATTTTTTTTTGATATTTCAACACTCTGGAATCAATCTGCCTATCTGTATTACTTTACCTCCTTTAATGCATTTCTTCTCCCCACACTCTAAGCAGACAACTTCACATGCTACTTTGGAGAAAATAATTCTCAGAAAGTCCTGAACTACTTATGAACCCACCTAAATTTGCACTCATCCTCAAGAGTCTCTCCTGTCACTTGGCAATGCATAAAAACTGCCCCAGCTCCTGTGCTAGTGTATTCTCCTGTAATTGATACTGAAACATTAGCGCTTCTCAGGGATCAATCCTAAACTATCTTCTCACCTCACTCTGTAATCTTCATTCTTCCTAGAAGATCTTATCCACCTAATTCTTGCCTTGCCCTACAGCCACCACAGTGCAGGCCACGATCATCTACCACCTGGAATACTGCAATAACCTGTTCTACCTTCTACTCCTGCCCTCTCCTTCTCTTTTCAACCTGTTCTTAGTAAAGATCACTTAAAAATGAAAATCTCATCCTGCCCTTAAAAACCTTTGGATGGCTTCACTTGGCTCTGTGAACAAAGAACATTCTGAGCAAGGTGCTCCAAGAGCTACTTCTAACCTCTCTAGCGAGCTTCATCCCACACTGCTCTCCCTCACACTCACTGTGCTTCCAACATCCCACCTGCTTTCAGTTACTTGACCATTTCCCCACTTTCAGCTCCACCTTCACACAGCTAATTCATGGTAATCCAGCCATTTTTTAGGGACTCTATATACACATTACTTCTTTAGAAGTATTCCCTGAAGACCCAAAATGGATTATGTATCTCATATACACTCTTAGAGTGTCTATCTTCTGCTTTTCCTTCACAGCCCTTAGGAAAATTGTAATAAATAATTATCCAATTAATCTTTGCTTCTCAAAAAATGGTAAGCACCATGGGCAGGAATATGCATAGCTTCATCACCATTACAGCCTTAACACCTAGCATAGTGCTTGGCAAGTGGAGACTCAATAAACATCTGTTGAATGAAGGGAACGTGAACGAATGAGAGCAAAAACTAGATTCAAACGATTTTAAGTATTATCTATTATAGCACATAGAAGGGGAGGCATTTTTTTTTTTAAGTATCACCCTAAATTGTGGTGATAAGCCTTTTTCTTTTTTAGAGACAGAGTCTCACTTTATCACCCTCAGTAGGATGTTGTGGTGTCACACTGCTAACAGCAACCTCCAATTCCTGGGCTTAGGTGATTTTCTTGCCTCAGCCTCCTGAGTAGCTAGGACTACAGGCGCCCGCCACAATGCCCAGGTATTTTTGTTGTTGTTGTTGCAGTTTGGCCAGGGTCGAGTCTGAACCCGCCACCTTCAGTATATGGGGCCGGCACCCTACCCACTGAGCCAGAGGCACCACCTGGGAGGCATTTTTTTGATGATCCACCTCTTCATTCGTTCATTCAACAACGAATGTGCCAAGAAAACATGAGCCTGCACTGCTTTCAGCATTTAGGATACATCAATAAACAAAACAGACCAACATCCCTATCCTCATGGAGCTTACATTCTAGTGGGGGAAAGAAAATATCAATTAACACAATATTGGGGGATGGAGGGCTACAGGATAAAAGGGATTGAGTCAGGGAGGGAAACAGTTTGCATTTTCAAGTAAGGTATTTAAGATAGGCCTTGTTAAAAAGGTAGCATTTAGAATAAAGACTTGGAAAAAAAAGAGAAAATAAGCCATGCAAATATGTAGAAAAAGTGTTCCAAGCCAAAGATCCCAAGGCAGGAGCATTTTTGGTGCATTTAAGAAACAAGGAGTCCAGGGCAGTACCTGTGGCTCAAAGGAGTAGGGCGTCAGCCTCATAGGCTGGAGGTGGCGGGTTCAAACCCAGCCCTGGCCAAAAAAAACTGCAATAAAAAAGAAACAAGGAATCCAGAGTGGTGGGAGCAGAACAAGAGTGAGGGAGGACAGCTGGAGAAGAGGACAGAGAGGTGAGTGGGAGGTGAAGACAAGCACCAGATGATGTGGAAGACTGAAGGCCAGTGCTGTTCCACAGAATGACATGAGCCATGTGTGTAATTTTAAATTTTCTGAGAGACTCAGTAAAAAAGGTAAAAAAGAAATAGTGAAATTAAAAATAAAATATATTTTATTATAGCATATACTCCAAAATGGTCTCATTTCATTATCAACATACTATTGAGATATTTTACATTTGTTTTAGTACTAAGCTCTCAAAATATAATATGCATTGAACACAATTTGAATTAGCCACATCTGAAGTGCTCAATAGTGGTAAAAAAAAAAAAATGGACAGTATTCCTATAGGCCATTCTAGGGAATCTGGATTTAGAAAAATGGAATGGCTTTGCCGCGTTCTAAGCAAAGGAGTAACATGATTTAAGTTCTTAAAGGTCCAATTTCACTACTTACTGACAACAAACTATAGAGAAATACAGGTGAGAGATGGTATTATAACAGCCATCAAGGTAGTAATAGTAGAGGAGTGAGATGTCAGAATCTGGAGTTATTTTCAGGGAAAACCCAATTGAATTTGCCAACTATTTAATGTAAAGTGTGAAAAAACAAGAAGTCCCTACCCGTTGGGAGGTCAAGGTGTGAGGATCACTTGATCCCAGGAGAGACCAGCCTGAGCAACACAGGACAAATCCATTCTACAAAAAATAAAAATTAGCCAGGTGTGGTGGTGGTTCATGCCTATAGTCTCAGTCACTTGGGAGGTTGAACATACAGGATTTTGAGCTTACAGTGAGCTATGATAACACTGCACTCTAGCCCAGGAAACAAAGTTAAGACCCTGTCTCAAATTTAAAAAAAGGGGGGGGCGGTGGGGGCGGACTCAAGGATATTCTGAGATTCTGGCCCAGACAACTGAAAGGATGGAGTTACCACCAAAATTTGATGAGAAGGACTGCAGGTTATGCTAATGAGTTTCATTTGAAATAATTGTGAGGTGCTGATAAACTACCCAAGCAGAGACTGAGAATGCTCAGAAGACCGTTAGAATCTAAAGTTCAGGAGAGAGGTACCAACTGCAGATATAAATTCAACAACCAAAGAAGTGAATATAGGTACAGAACAGGTGAGAATGAAGGACAGAATCCTAGCTTCAGGGACATGCCAAGGAAAGAGACTGGGGAAAGGAAGAGGAACCAGACCAGTAATGTGAGAAGACATGACAGGTGAAACAGGAAGAAAATTCTAAGAGAGTGAAGTATCCTGGAAGCCATGAGAAGAAAATATGACAAGAATGATAATATTCAGTTCTGTTTTTTGTTTCTTTGATTTTGTCTCTTGTGATTTCTGTCATGAACGATACATGCAGATGTATGCCATCCATCTCTTTTCAGTAACAATATCCATTTTGTTTTGCTGTCTTAGTCATCAAGGTCTGTTGTGATCTCTTAGCATCCCTAACTTCTGAGCAACAACTATTCCAAGTAAAGGATGCTGGTCTTGACACTGAGCTTTCCTTTGAGAAGCACAAAGAGAAAACTATGATGCAATGTTAAAAAAAAAAAAATCACTGGCATAGGAGTGCAAGCTTCAGTCCTTCTTCTTTCACTTACCAGGCTAGAAATGAATTTGGTCACATACCTAACAGGATTGGTTTCTACCTCTGTAAAATGGGGGTGATACTGCTGGCTCCGCCTAAACCTAACTTAAGTAACATATTAATAGACCGTTGTACTTCAAAAACATAACAAAACCCAAAATGCATTGAACAAGGGCTGTCATCCTAGCTAACAAATTGGACTTTACGAACTGCTGAAAAGAAGTGCTACACAGAAGTACTACAGAATCAGCCCCCAAATGATAAAGGTTGATCAAAATTAGACATCTAAAAATTTAAGAATCGGAATTGCCTGCAACGATGTGATTCAGAAAGTATCAACAAGCACTTTGAAAACTGTTACAGACGAAAGCAACTCAAATATACTACGTTTTTCTCACCAGGATTCACTTCACGTATCAAAGGCCAGCCCACACCCCCCGTATCGGGAAGAGAACCTTCGCCTTGCCTTCTGCACAGGTGGCTGCAGGGTGTTAATGTACAGCCCACCCTCAGGGTGGACAGTTCCAGAATGAAGTGAAATCCCTGATAAGGTCGCTTTTAAGTAGTAATGACCCTCTGGAAAACCTAAAACTCAGAAAGAGCACGAGCTACTTCGAGCCCCCTGAGCAGACCTGCGCCTCGGGCAGCCTGGCTTGCACCCCGCAAGACAAAACCCCGTCTTACCCCTACCAAAGCACCTAACGGCAGCCGCCATCTTGACCGCTCCGGATGGTGTTCGCGAAATTGATCCTACGTTTCAACGTGGAGGAACTGTTTGAAGGTTCCGTACCGGAACTCGGGACGGGGGAAGGGGTTAGGAGTAGCAAGAGGAACAGGGCGGGGCCCGCACCGGCTTCGCTGCCCGCGTGGCGGTGTGACCGTCAGCCCTCCGCGGTTCCTGCCAGACAGCTTAACCACCTCCAGGAAAAACGATCCTGCTGGCAATGCCGTAATTATTTTATTCTCTTCTTTTTTCTTTCCCTTCTTCTTCCTTCTCTTACTGGCGTACTCAAAACGATGATTTTAACAGATTCTAAGAGTCCCCACTACCCAGCCTGAATCGTAACCAGCAGAAACCCTGAGGAAGCCGCCCGCTTCCACACCGCCTTTCCATCCTTGTGACGACTTTTAAAAAATCCGCCGGGCTCTTCGCCGCCACCGAACGGGAGTGGGCGTGGGAGTGTCCCACTAACAAACTTTCTTTTTAACTTAACGCAACACCAACCGTATTTTAACACAAAATGTTACGTTAATGTGCTCTACATTTTCTCCCTGATGACAAGCGGTGCCATCAGGATCAATGGACTAATAACTTGACATTTTCATAACACAACTAGTTTGAAAATGGAAGATGTGGATGTGAGACCTACAGGTTATTCTGAGTGTTCTTTCCATTACGTCACAGCTGTCGGTGCGGTTTGTCTAAAATCCGATCACTGATTATACTGCTTCCCAGTTTAAATAAAACTCTCCCGATAAGCACTGAAGCTAGCTTCCGAGTGCTGCCTACCTCGCCACCCACAAACCCCAAGTCCCAGCCAACGTCCCCCCGAAAAACACAGACACACGTGGTTTCTTACCTCCGTGACTTTTGTTCATCCTGTCCCCTTTGCAAGATCTTGTAGCATCACCTAGGTAACTGTTTTCTTTCTTTTTTTAAGATTTCAGGTCAGACATTTACTAGTTGATGAAGCCTCCCTCACTTCCCAGGTTGAGTTATGATCACCTCTTTCTGGCATTGTACAGTGCCCAGGACTGATATCTGGTTTTGTTTGTTTCCAGGAGTTTTGAGATATAATTCACATGCCATACAGTTCCTCACCCTGTATTGTACAAGTCAGTAGTTTTAGTGTATTCACAGACTTGTGCAGTCATCTCTATATCTTTTTCCCACCAGTCTGAGCTTTTAGTAGGCAGAAATCATGTCTTAGTCATTTTTGTAACCTCAGCACATACTGCAGTACCAGGCCCATAAAAAACTCTGAATAAATGTTTGTTGATGAACATGAAGATTGTCAGTTCTGGGTACTGTACAAAGCCAGAAAGAGGTGCCCATAACTCAATGAATTAGTGACTCCATTAAAATGGCAGTGCTTCCATGAAGTTACCCATAGCAAGATGGACTGGATCAAGATAGATATTTCACAGATGCTGTATTTCATATTTATATGTAGGCTCATCTACATGAAAATTAAGATGGGCAGCACCTGTGGCTCAGTGAGTAGGGCGCTGGCCTCATATACTGAGGGTGGTGGTTCAAACCCAGCCCCAGCCAAACTGCAACAAAAAAATAGCCAGGTGTTGTAGCAGGCGCCTGTAGTCCCACCTACTCTGGAGGCTGAGACAAGAGAATCGCCTAAGCCCAGGAGTTAGAGGTTGCTGTGAGCTGTGATGCTACAGCACTCTATCCAGGGTTAATAAGTGAAACTTTGTCTCAAAAAAATAAAAATAAATAATAAAAAAATAAGATTTCTAATTTATTGCCTTGTCTGTCAATACCTAAGCAGTTCCTGCAAAGCTTCCATAACCATTTGCAATGTTATGAAAGAAAATTCAAAGAACTTGAATTTACCTTTATAACTTTCCGTCCCTTTCTCCCTCCCTCCCACCCTCCCTTCTTTTCACAAATATGTCAGTGCCTGCCATGTGTCATGCAGTATACTTGGCTATGTATGGATTTTTTTTTTTTTTTTGAGACGGAGCCTCAAGCTATCCCCCTGGGTAGAGTGCCATGGCATCACGCTCACAGCAACCTCCAACTCCTGGGCTCAAGCGAGTCTCCTGCCTCAGGCTCCCAAGTAGCTGGGACTACAGGCACCCGCCACAACGCTTGGCCATTTTTGGTTGCAGCCATCATTGTTGTTTGGCGGGCCCAGCCTGGGGATTTGAACCCGCCACCTTAGGTGTATGTGGCTGGCGCCTTAGCCGCTTGAGCTACAGGCGCTGAGCCGTATGTATGGATTTTTTAAAAAAACTAATTCAATTTGAGATTAAATGACAGAACTGGGGCAAGCTCACCTCATCCATTTCAGACAAAATAAACGCCCAAATTAGAGGTGCTGGTCCTAAGACTCTATAGCCCTTCCTTTTCTTCAGTGGGGCCAGATGGCCCCCATCTGTGGACACTGTTATGTCTCTTGTTTTCACCAGAGGATTTAAATATCTAATATTGGGACTCCCAGTAACATGTAGTTTACAGAAATAGCTTCATTAAAGCAATGTCCTGCATGGGTACAGCTTACCTGATGGCTCACTCTAAACACCAGAACTTAATGACATTAGTCAAGCAAGGTCCAGAGCCCAGTTGTGTTTAACAGTACATAAAGACATTCTCTAGCTTGAGATGTGGTAAAAACTACAAAAGAACTTTATAAAAACTACAAAATCCATGCTCTGAAATGGGAACTCTAGACTTTTAATACTAGTATTACATAAGGAGTTTCTCCTCACTGAAGAGAGGCAATAGAGCATTTTGTTTAAGTGACTTTACTGCTGCCTGGGTTTGACTTCCACTATAGTAGAAACTCTGTAAGCTGACCACCCAAGGGACTGTACCAAACTGGTCAACATATGGAGTGGTCAACAGGGAGCTAAGCTCCTACTGTACTGATACATACGTGGAGTGCATGTCTGCTCTCTAAAAATTAGGTCAACTTAAGGAGGTGGTCAATGTAGGGAGGTGGTCAGCTATGGAGGTTCTACTAAATTATCACTTTCTAGTTGTGTAATCTGGAGCAAATTTCTATACCTCTCTGAGCCTCAGTTTCCTCATCTGTGATATGGAGCTAATAATGAAATAACTTACTAAGGTACTTACTAAGGTACCTGGAACAGAGTAAGCACTTTATTAAGTTTTAAAGGCCGTTATTAAAAAACTGGTGAGAGCTCTTAACCAGGAGGGCAAAATGAATAAGCTGTTCTAGTACCCCTTCTTCCAATACTGCTTATTTCTTAATATGATCCATGTTGTTCTTATTCCCGTATGTGCCTGAATGTCACTTTCTTTATATCAGAATGTTTATTAGCATTTGCAGAATGTCTCTGGGCTGTGCTGCTTATGCACTTTCTTCACTTTAAAATCCAACTTTTCCCAGTCGACTTCTAGGAAGGTTTATACTCTCCAGGAGTCTTGGCAGAATGCCAGATGCTGGCCTGCTTGGCTAACTTCCCTGAGAAAAATTTCTAAATATTTGCCTAGCCCTGTAGTCTGCTGGATCTGTGTTCTCTGCCTTCTTCAGCCATCTTTCAGGTGAGCTGGAAACTTCTTTGCAACAACAGTCACTTCCCATGTGGGGTTCAAATTGAAAATGGATTCTCTTACTAGGACAAAAAACAAGATGCTCCAAAACATTTCCTATTTCAGTAGTATGCACCAGAATCACTCAGCTCATTCAATTCATATTGTGTGGCCCCATCCCCAGAGTTTCTGATCCAGAGCCTGTGGGTTCGCATTTTTAAGTTCTCAGGTGATGCTAATATGCTGGCCCAGAGACCACACTTGGAAAGCTACTTTGTATGTAACCATCAAACATTTGTATCTATACTTAACGTTAACTAACATTAACATTAAAACAACATAAGTTTTATTGAATAATTTTATGCTCAATATAACATAGGCTATAAAAATTCCTCATGTAGTGTGTCTCTAGGACTAGAATCTACCCACTCTTATCTTCTCCCTCTCTGCATGGAAACTGCTATTCCATGCCTGAGTTTCAGCTCCAAAACTGTCTAGCTGTCAGCTAGGAGACTTTCCAGTGCCAGTCTGCCTGCCTGTTTGGATTTTAAGCATTGCCAACTCCTAGATTGCCTTGTGCCTACTTCAGATTTAGATTATTTTTTCACAAAGAAATGACTATCTAGAATAGTTGGTTTTTAGTCACAAAGTTGAAAGTTTGTGAGAGACAGACTGGAATTCATTCTGTCATGTCTCTATACAAGGTCAGACAATTAAGTTCATAAACATCCTAGAAAAAATGCTACATACCTCATTGCTGAATATCACTACAGTCACCAGATGGCCAACGGGCATGCTTGGAAGGTGACTGCAGTGATATTCACCAGTGAGGTATGCAATACTTTTTCTGGGATGAGTTCACGAACTTAATTGACCTCACAGGACAGCTTTCTGTCCAAAAACCACCTAGGAGAATGTTTTAATTGCAGATTGAACTGGGAAATTTAAAACTGTCCAGTGCTGTGCTAATGCAAGTTTAACAACTGGTTCTTGAGTTCACAAGAAATGAACTTGTGCCATACGGTAATTTCCACAGTATAAATACTCCCACAATAGCTGATTTCAAGTCACCAAACAGAAAATCAACCAACTCAAAATTTTTGGCAATGTATCATTTGGTTTTCACATGGCTACAACACACTGCCAGAAGGTTTCTAGTAAAATTCCTTAGTAACTTTTAGGAGGTTTAAGCCAAACCAATTCATTCCAGAGCTATACTTCTCAAACTTTAATGTAAATTCAAATCACCTGGAGGTCTTATTAAAATGTAGGCTCTGATTTGGTAGGTTTGGAATAGGGCCTGATAGTCTGACTTTTTTTTTGAGACAGTCTTACTCTGTCACCCTGGGTAGAATGCCAT